TTCCTACTCCCTCTGCAATAATTTTCCTATCTTTATAGGATATAATCTGCAGTAATGTGAAGAGTTTAGATCCCTATAAAAACTGCCTGTAGGAGACAATGTACAATAAAACATGCTGAACAATTTGTTTTAAAAGAATTATATAAAACATCTGAAATTGTTACAGGTTCAAAATAGGAAAGAGAGTGAATGAAGCTTGGAAAAAACCCCATGTGAAGATTCTCTTCTTCACTTTGCCGTTAAATGATCAAATAACGTTAAATATTTAAAATTTATTGAGCATTTTCTATGTGCCAGATATTGTTGTAAATGGTTCAAGGGATGGTCATGTCAAGTATCTGTGCTGACAAAGAAGGGAAGACATGGTAAATTCAAGCCCACAGGCATTTGCTGGGCTCCAGTGAAAACTCAAACTGTGGCTGTAAAATTCAACCTCACTGTTGCTGTAAACAAGCAGCAAAATTTGATCTCACTCCTTTTGAACATGTGATCCCATTATTTGCACAAGATAATCCATATGCTTTTAAGACAGGTAAAAAGTGATATGTAATTCATCAGAATTAAAGGGGTATTAAAAAGTAGGGAAAGACAGCATTAAATTAATTTGTTTTCTGAACACAAGCTTTCCCTTATTAAGCCAACTTAAAGAGATAATAAGGTATATATAGTGTGCCCATGTGATTCTGGAAGTGATGTCACTGGTATTTCATATACTAGGGTGAGCTAAGGTCGCTTGGTTTCAGCAGAGATTCCAGACTAACAAAAGATTAGGGAAACAGAATAGGTTGTTCACTTCTAAGGAATTAGACACTGAAAACTTTATGGCTATTAGGAGAACACGGTCACATACGGGAAGCCTTATTAACAGCATAGGGATGTTGTCAAATAGAGTGCTGGAAGCTGAGGACCTCAGGTTGGGAGACACTCAAAACATGACTGAGGACAAGCAGCTTTCTTAACTTAAGGTTGACCATAATGGCACAATGGAGTGCCTACAGCTTCAAGGACCTTCATTTGCTTAGGGGGCATGGCTCAAAGTAAGAAGAAACAGCTCTACACATATATTAATAATCAGAACTTGTAATGTGTGAAGAATGAATCTACAAATATTGAAAGTTTTCATAAATGAAATGGGATGTGTAAAGATTTATAGCTGAGGCAGTAATGAACTAAAATGGACTGGGATTGGTCATTTTAAAAATAGTATATTTTACTTCTCCAGGAATAACAAAATCAAGAGGCTTGATGTCACCTTTATCATCAAAAATAACAATTCAAGAAGTACTGTATTTCTTTCTCTTTTTTTTTGAGCTTTAGAATCCATTTTTAATGGCATATCACACAATAGATACTGACAACACTTTCAGCTTATGGCACACCAATGTATGGTTACAGTGTGCAAGTGTTGAGCTAAGAGAAGCCCCCTAGAGAGGACAGAGGACACGACAAGGCTCTGTCACACGTAGTCCATGATAGGATGCCCATACGCATACAAAGAAATACAGTTAATTAATACAATGATTATTCTTGAACGACTAAAATTAGTGATGAAGAAATTGAAGAATTTTGTGAACATCTTCAGTCTGAAATTTATAAACATGAGGTCAAACTGTATTGGCAATTAAAGGTGATTGGAATGGAAAAAGTTGGAAACAGAAGGCACAATAGTTGGAACTTATGGTCTTGAAGATAAAAATGAAGCTGGAGATCAAATGATAAAAGTTTGCTAGACCAACAACTTCATCGCTAATATCTTTTTAATTCTCCAGATAGAACACACAGACATAAAATTCAACATCCATATTGGAAGAAACCACACGGAAGCTTAATATTAGCAGCCAAAATGAGGCCAGGGCTGACTATGGAGCAGAGGATCAATTGCTCAGCTGTAAATACAAGTTGTAGCTAAAGAAAATTAAAACAAGTCTATGAAAGACAAAATATGACCTTGCATATATCCTATCTGAATTTCAAGAACAGATTTGAGTCGAACACCAGTAACAGAAAGCCTAATGAGCTGTGGGATGATATCAAGAACATCATACTTGAAGAAAGAAAAAGGCCATTGTGAAAACAAGAAGAAGATCACCGTGAAGACTCTGCCACTTGCTTTGATTGTAGAGTAGCTAAAGCAAATGGAAGAAAGGATGATGTAAAAGAGCCGAGCAGAATAGTTCAAAGGACGGGTCGAAAAGACAATAAAATATTATGACAAAGTACTCAAATATTGTCATCAGAAAACCAGAAAAGATCAACATGATTAAAAGACTTCAAGCTGAAAGAAATTAAGAAAAAGTCCAAACCCCCAGTTGAAGTATTAAAAGTGAAAAATATCAATTGATGGAGGAAGGATCAAAAGATGCATAGAGTTAGTTACTGGACCAAAAAGTATTGGGTGACATTTAACTATTTCATGAGGCAGCATATGGTCAAAAACTTGTACTGAAGAAAGAAGTCCAAGCTGCACTGATGGCATTAGGCCAAACAAGGCTTCAGGAGTTAATGGAATACCAATTGAAGTGTTTCAGCAAGCTGATGATACACAAGCACTCACGCCAAAACATTTGGAAGACAGGTACCTCGGTCAGCTGATTGGAAGAAATCCAAAATTGTACCATTCCAAAGAAAGACAACTCCCAACAGACTGTGGAAATTATTTTTAAATATGCTTAATATCACATGCAAGTAAAATTTTACATTCAGCACTGGTTGCAGCAGTGCATCAACAGGGACTTGCTAGAAATTCAGGCCTTATTCAGAAGAAGATGTGGAACAGGGATATGATTGCTGATGTCAGATGGATTTTGGCAGAGAGTAAAAAATACCAAAAGGATGTTTAATTGTGATTTATTGACTATGCAAATGCTTTCAAGTGTGTGGATAATAACAAACTTCAGAAAGCACTGAAAATAATTGGAATTTCAGAACATATGTAACCTATACATAGGTTGACCTGTACATGTGCTTAGGCAGAACCCATATATGAATCAACAAAATACAGGAATGCTGCATGGCTTATAATCAGGAAAAGTGTGTGTCTGGGTTGTATACTTTCACCATACTTATTTAATCTATGTGCCGAGCAAATAATGCAAGACACTGAAGTGTCTGCAGAACATAACATCAAGATTGGGGGAAGGCTTATCAACACCCTTTGTTATACAGATGAAACCTTGCCTGCTGAAAGTGAGGGGGCCTTGAAGTACTTGCTGAGGAAGACCAGGGATCACAGCCTTCGATATGGATTACAACTGAATTTAAAGAAAACCAAAATCCTCACAATTGAACTAATTAATAACATCATGATAAAGGAGAAAATAAAGATTGAAGTTATCAAGGATGTCATCTTGCTTGGATCCCAAATCATTGCTCATGGAAGCAGCAGTCATGAGATCAAATGCCACATTGCCTTGGGTAAATCTGCTGCACAACTTATCTTTCAAGTGTGGAAAAGTAAGGCTGTCACTTTGAGGACTAAGGTGTGCAAGTGTCAGAGAATGGCAAAGAAACGGCTCTGCTTTTGAAGAAGTATAGCCAGCATGTTCCTTAGAAGCTAGGAACGTGAGACTTCTCACCTATTTTGTTCACGTTCTCCACACAGACCAGACCCTGGCAAAGGCTAGCATGCTTGGTACAGTGGAAGCGCAGTTAACTAGAGGAAGACCTAGACAAAATGGATTGACACAGAGGCTGCCACACTAGGCTTCAACGTACCAACAATTGTAAGGATGGTGCGGGCCCGGCAGTGTTTCCTTCTGTTGTAAACAAGGTTGCTACGAGTTGGAATCAATGGCACCTAATAACATTTTCACCAGCACCGTAACTCAAATGCAGTAATTCTTCTTCACCCTTCCTATTCAAGGTTCAACTTCCACATGTGTATGAGGTAATTGAAAATACTATGGTTTGGGTCAGAATATTGTGTTATAGATGCAGTGGAATAAATGTAGCAAAATCACTAACATGCCTTTGCAATGAATTTTTTTTCAGTTCTGTGAAGAATAGTTTCAAATTTTGAAAGCTGTTGTTACTATTGATAATAGGTTTGTCTATAAATTTGGAAACTATCGATCATGTTATTTCATAAACTTTCCAGTTATTACTCTATAATTGTTTTGCAAGTAAGTGTTTAAGAGTAGTATGAATTGTACTATGGAATAACAGACAAATTACTGCACACATTTCTGTTAAGAGATTGCTTTATATGTGGAAAGAGCACTGGCGGCATAGTGGGTGACTTATTGTGATGTTAAAAAGATGAGGCTGTCTCCTACAGTGAAGATTTACAACTTTGGAAACCCACAGGGGTGAGTTCTACAATGTCCTAAAGGGTCTCCATCAGTCAGAATAGACTTGATAATAGTGGATTTGTTTTTCTATGTTTGCAAATGGAATTCTTAAAGTTCTTCAATAAATGCAGTTTTTTTCTGATAATGGTTTTAAAAACAGATATCCTAAGAAAGATTCAAAATGTCACTTAACTTCTTACACTGAATTCTGTTTTAAAATAATTTACTACACATTAATTCTTCTTACATCTTTAGATTTTAACACGAGTCAACATTAAGATATATCAATATTATAGGACAAAGTTATCATTTTATGAAGTTAATAAAATATGTATATTTTACATAAATGCCTTCTTGAATTACTATCAATACTATTATATTGATCCTGGATCAATATAAAAAGGATAATGCATTTGTTTTCAGCGAATTTCAGAGATTTTAATGAATTTTTCTATAATTTCCATAGGCCATTTCTCAATACCATAATTTTAGAAATACAATTAAACATAAGTGAATAGTAAAAATGTCTTCATGCAATTTGAACATGCTGTATTTTCTTTTGCTACCAGATTTATTCTGCTGTTAAAAATAACTAAAATTTCATATTCTTCCTCCGCAAACTTCAATTGAATGAGGAGAACATGGCATGTTTAATTCTAGTCGGGAATCCAAAGAATCTCTTTCTTTTTCAAGCTCTACAAGCAAACCCACCTTCCTTCCTTTCTTCAACTTCCGGGTCATCTACTATTGGAATCACTTCTGGTTGTGTAACAATCCTGGCATCATCTTCGATGGATGAAAACTCTACATGGAAGAAAACAGAAGGATACCCAGGTATGTTTCCGTTGCGATCATTTAGAAAACACAGTAACCACTATGCAGCCAGGGCCCTGACGCAACAGACAATTACATTTCTCGTTCTTTTCTTTGTTTACTAGGAGTCCTGGTGTTGTATCTAGTTCCATGGTGGGCTGGTAACATCAAAGTCAGCAGAGCAAATCTACAAGTCCCTCTCTGGGAAGAGATGAGGCTTTCTACTCACATAAAGATTCTCAGTGTCAGGGCCCTTCAAGGGCAGTTCTAGTCTGCAGGGTAACTGTGACTCAGCGCCAAGCTGATGCAGTGAGTTTTTCCTTTAAGTATGAACAAGTACATACAACAGACACTATTGTCTTTCTCTACTCTTCATAGTCTAAATTACACACGCTAGCACTCATACACATGGCTGTGTATATAGGTCACGGCTCACAGCTTCATTCCATTTTTGAATAATATATTCTTTTAAAAAATACCTTCTGTTTCCATATATGAGCTCTGGGGCTCTGTCTCAATTTTTATTTCATTCTTCTTTGGATCATCCTCTTGTCCTATTAAGAATAGTGATAAGAAAGTAAATGTGGTATATATGACCATACTTTCATTCCTCCTTTGAAAAATTAAAATCCTCAGAAGTCACATTTTAATCATGTATAGAGCCACAGAGAACAGGATTGAACCAGAGTGGTGGGTGAAGATAAAATTTTTTGAAAAATTTCCAGATAGTTTATCAGTTCAGTGGACATGTATGGCCACACCTAAAAATTTTGAAAAATTAAATAATTTCTAGGGAACATAATGTGTATATTATATAATTGTGTATTCTATAAACACTTTCATTACTCCATCAAGAAAGCAAATCCAAGACTAACAGTAACAACAACAGAAACAGGAGTATTGTAAGCACATAGGAATTGGTTGGCACAATAGCTTAATCATTATTTTAAAACATACTCTTAGTATAGCAAAGGCCAGGAGAGAATTATCTAGTAACGCACCCCCCCACACACTTATTTTCTTATTAAGAGAGGAAATTGAAATATGTTCACTTTGTTGGTGAAACATTTGTGCTGAGGATATTTAATTATGTTAGTAAAATAAATGTATAAGCAGCTCTTCTGGATCTGGGGTTTGTTACAGGCACAGAGGCGATGCGCTTTGTCTGGGTGCAGTCCTGTGGTGGATTGCATTACTGCTCCAACCTTTCCCTACACATACTGTCCTCGAGAGTGCCACCAAAGTCACTGTCGATGACATTTGTGAGTAGTGTCTCAGCAGAAATACATTAGATTTTATAAAAGAAACCTGCAGCTATTTATAACAATAAAAACATTTTTGTAAGCCTCGTTTACATATATCAATATGCCTATGAGGCTAACCTTATAGGCTAATTTACCTTTTGAATCTCCTAAAGTGCTTCAGTTAGATCATATTGATGTGAATGGGGGGGGGGCAGAGTGGAGCCCCAACGTCATCCCCTCACAGAAGGGTCACAAGGAAGAGACAAGCCAGTCATATAGCACTGATGAAACATAAAACTTTCCTCTAGTTCTTTAATACCCTCCTCCCACTACCAAGACCCCAATTCTACCTTAAAAATCCAGCTAGACCAGAGGTTGTACACTGATACAGATAAGAGGGAAACACAGGGAATCCAGGACAGGTAAACCCCTCAGGACCAATAATGAGAGTAGTGATACCAGGAGGGGAAGGGGAAGGGAAAGATGGGGGAGAAAAGGGGACCGATCACAATAATCGACATATGATTCTGTCCCAGGGGGACAAACAGCAGAAAAGTGGGTGAAGCTGAGACAGTGGTTGGGGTAAGACATGAAAAAAAAAATTTATAAATTATCAAGTGTTCATCGGGGAGGGAAGGGAGTGGGGTTGTGGGGACAATGAACTGATACCAAGGGCTCAAGTACAAAGAAAATGTACAAATCTGCTTCACACAATAGATGAATGTATGGATTGTGATAAGAGCTGTCAGAGCCCCCAGTAAAATGATTTTTAAAAAGCTGTCATGATGACCCACATACGATGACATTTTGGATTATGTGGTTTTATCTGCATGTGCTACAAGTATAGGCTGTTGTTTTCAGTGCTGCTAGTGTTTTTATTGTTGTTGATGTCAGATTTTCTGGAAAGAACGAGGGAGTGATTCAGGAAGAGCAAATAGGAGTGGTCTGGTCTAGATTAGGGAAGAAAGGCTTACCTAACAAAATGGCACTCAGAACTGGTCAACAGAAACTGCCATCAAGCCAATTCTGACAGATACTTGTGACTTGTGGTAACTATTACTTGTGAACCTATATGAATAACATTTGTGAGAATTAAGAAATAATGAATGGAAATGAAGGAGAAAAATGTAAAAAGTCTTCTTTATTCACTAATAGTGGTATAATAATCTAATTCACTGCAGACAATTTTGTTGTCAGCATTCATGTAATCGAATAAATATTACATTTGAGCAATTTAAATCTCTATCATATATTATACTAAACATTGCTAAGGATCATTCGTCGTCTAGTGTGGGAGGAGGTCTGTGTAGATTGTACCGCCATGAGTTACCCCAGAGGGCCACCAACCCTACTGAGTGTAGCACACACTGTCTAATAGTTTTGCCATATCCAATTCCTCCTAAGCTCAATTTTAATCAAAATAATTTGATAAAATATTTATCTATCTTGAGGTTGAAGGTAGAAATCTCAAGAAGTCTTTGATGGTTTTCTCTCATGACTTCCAAAATTCAATCAAATATCAAGCCTCGATGATTCTACAAAATGTTTCTCCTTTTCTTATTTCCCGTTCAATGTCACTGCCCCTCTCTTCGTGCAGGGAGGCGCCATCTTTCTCCACTCTTATAATTGATCTTGTGAATTGCTAGACTATGTATTTTAAAAGATTGATTCAATCAATACTCTTTTCTGCTTCTAAACTTCATTGCTTTCCACTCTCTAGAACCGTGCTACTCAAGGTCATGTCCATGGACAGGCCATATTGGAATTACCTGCAGTCTTTGTTAAAAGGCAGACTTTCTTCTTGCCTTATCCAAGAATTACAGGATTAAAGTCAAAATTTTAGCAAGATCTTCAGGTGCTCTTTTTTCCTTTTATAAAGATCATTTTATTGGGGCCTCTTACAGCTCTTATAACATTCCATACATCAATTGTATCGAGCATATTTGTATATATGTTCTATCATTATCTTCCAGACATTTACTTTCTATTGAGCCCTTGATAGCAGCACCTCTTTTTGCCCTCCTTCCCACACCCACCCTTGTGACCCCTTGATAAGTTATAAATTATCAGTATTTTCATAGCTTACACTGATCACTGCCTCCCTAGTGGTTGAATGTCCAGTAGTTCTTTTTGTTGACTCTGTATTATTTCATCTTCTTTTGATATTTCCTATGTCATTCAATATTTTCCCCAAAGAATCTTTCAACATTGTGACTCAAAGGAGAGAACAAGTATTTTAGAATTTCCCAAACAGATGAACCTCTGGCTTCTTCTCTGTGTGCCGAGTATCACCTAGAAGCTGGAAATGTCCTTCACTCAAGTAGTGAGTACACAAGGCTAAATGTGCTCATGTGCGTAAACATGAACTATCCACTGTGATTTGTGTTTTCGAGTACAAGCAAATTCCACCTCAGTTGAAAAAAATTAAGAGGCACAAAAAGGATATTTTCAAGTAAAAGAAGAAAAAGGGGATTTGTGGGAAGATCAACTTCCTTATGAATTATGCAAACAAACTGGGGAACACAATACTTATTTACCGATAAGTAGAAATAAATCTGTATGCACATTGAGATATTGTGTACCTGCAATTATCAACCCTTCACAGAATGCCAGAAGTCCAAGCTGCACTGAATGCATTAGTGAAAAACAAGATTTCAGGAATGAATACCAATTTTAGGCTATAACAGTGCTAGAACATTTTATGAATGTCTCTTGTGGGCATATGTACTCATATCATTTAGATATAAGTATGTCTGTATGAACACATATGCTCAGCTTGCCTGACAACAGCTCATTGTATACTATGAACAGAGACGTATGAAGTCTCTATGTCCCTCTTTAGTCCTTAGACGAGTCAATGCTAGTCCCAGTTGGAAAATCCTGTAATATGGTATAGAAAGTAATCCAACATTGTTTCCCTCCAACTGATTTATATCTTTATCATCATCAGTAACCATAAACAGTGACATCACCTACCCCTGGTCATTCATTCAATGATGATTGCATGCCACTAATGGACAACATGGCAAGTACACATTCTCTGCCATCGAGTCAATCCCAACGGAGGCTGGTGCTGTCCCTTAATTAAGATAAATGAGGCACTTGCCCTTTACCACCCATACAGTTACGGAAGTACACACTGACTATGGAAAAGGTCTTTTTAGTCAAATGTGAAATATAGTCCTAACTTGCGGAAAAATTCACTTTTAGCCACCTTTAGATGACAAGAAACTTGAGTGTTCACTGATGGACAACAGATTTAAAACTCAAACGTTCTCAATAGGTTACATTAGATAAGATGATATTAATAGGGGAAAATGTGAAATCCTAAAATCAGGTTTATAATAACAACCTCAGGAGATGGAATGGGAGGGATCATCCTCATTTCTGAAGGTTTTACAATTTAGATCTACACTAGATAAGCCAGCCATCTAGAAAGAGAAAGGTTCTCAACCTATCATCTAGAAAATGCGTTTAGGGTTCCTCAAACATAGAAAAGTCTTTCAAACAGGACCTATTACAAATGAAAGACAAGAGGAAAATTCTTGTAAGGGAAAAAATATTTTATAAGGCATTTACTCAGAAAAAATAAAAATAGAAAATGTGATGAACGCATTCGTTGGTTTTGAGGTTTACGGTCATGATTTCACAGGACACCCCAGTTAAATTGTCCTTTTAACATGTTTAACACCTTTGCTCTACCTCCCAGTTTGATGCACAGTGTCTGTGATCTTAAACATGTGATCAATGATGTCATGGGGGCGGGGTCCTGATCAAGAGGGAGAAAATGTAGAGTAGAACTTCAAATTATCTGAGACGTCAGACTTTTTGAAGTCATGAAGATTTGATTGAATCCTTGAAATAATTGCCCTGGAATAATATTTACACATTAAACCAAAAACACTCCCTGAAGTCTTCTTCAAACCAGGCAATAATTTAGCTGAACTAGTAAAGAATTTATGTCTTGAAAATTATACTCTTGACAAGGGTCAAATGGGATCAAATTGACAATAGAGACCCAACAGATTAGACAAGAACTTATAGGCAATGGCTTTGTCGATGGGGAGAAACAACACAGACACAGAGAGTGCGAATGGTTACGCAACCAGAAGAATGCGGTCCATGTCAGTCAATGATCCGTGTAGAAATGGTGCATTAGTATGTGTTTGTTTTGCATCTTCTCAATAGCATAGGTTAAAAAATGAAAATGGATAGATGTATTGAAAGAAAAGAAAGTCAATGGAAGTAGTAAGAAAAATCTAAAAGCCTGAAAATACTATGAGAGTTTTAACAGTGCAGTGGATATCATA